TGAAGTGACTTCACATCTGTTGCACTTGTAGCAAAGTATAAATTTTGATTATTTGCCACTGATACACTTCCCCTGAGCTAAAAATCCTTCTTTGCTAGTCATATGAGAACACTTCACTGTGAACTAAAATCCGGGAATAGAAAGACTTAAATAACAACGAGTCAAATCATAAAGAGAGCACATGATGTATGTGCACAAAGAAAAAGGTAAGAAGAATGATTTGTACTTTAGCCATGATAAAGACGCATTGAAAAGCATTATTACAATTCAAATTGTGTGGTTCTGTTTATGAAGCTCTGACCTCAAAAGTGGGGAACGTTTTGTAGCTACAAATGTTAGACTGCGTCATTACAAATGTGTGGACTATTTTCACCCTTGTTACACAGCGTGACACAGTCAGGAAGTGAAGCATCATACCCTGAAATGGTGTAAATTGTTCCAGGCTTGTGGTTCTCCAGGATGACAGAGTCGTGAGAGCTGTGAACCCATCTGATAAAATCATAGTGCTCAGTATTTAGCCAAGTGCATTGTACCTTCAGAGGAGAAATTTTGTAGGAGAGTCTTGGACCTGGAATAAGGCAACTGGATTTTTTAACCATGGGTTCACTCATGTGTCATTCCAGCTTCATATTCTTGTGCCATTTTCCTTCCTTTGAAAATTTTGTCCTGAAGTTTCATATGTCAAGATCAGGTTTTCCATTACCTAACAACCTATACTTCAACCAATCACCTGAAAAATTGTGTCATTTGCTAATAATAATGCAATTTTAGACAATTTTATCTACTTGTGTAGTTTTTTGGGAAATACATATACATGTGGTGATCATGGGAAAACTCTCTTATGATACCATAATGAAAATTTTAGGCATTTTATAAGAAGTTGAATCACTCTAAAAGGCAAAGAAATCTGAGAATAAGCCAACTAAGATGCATTATGCAATCATATTTTATTGCATTTCATCTTCAGTGTCATTTGTGTATCTTCTGTCATTACTATTAAAAAATTCCAACACTCTTATTTGCTACAAACTCCCTGTTGGAAGGATGTGTTTATTGCTAACACACACAGCTGATAACCAACAAACAGCTGACAAACTTGGGTCTCGCCAAATTAGGGGACAGAAAGCAAATTATGGTGTTAATATATATATATATATGTAAGTTTTTGACAAGCACATACTCAAGCTGCTGAGGCTGAACCAGTTGGTCCTCCACCACACTCTCATCGATCCTGTAAGACAAAGGCTGACCTCTGCTCCCACATAAAATCCCTGGTCTCAGTAGTAGGGGGAATGAAATTCACATAAAGGATTGAGCTGAACTACCTGAGCTCTTGTGTAATGCCTTTTGTTGTCAGTAATGAACTGGACAATCTAGCTGAAAGCAATACTGTTCAGGCTATGATTATGTCCTGTTTCACCTTTTCTTCCAAAATGAAGTGCTGAACACATATTTCAAATCTTAGTAAATAAGACATATTAATGGTGACCCTGAAACAAAGTCTGGAATAGACTTTCATTAACATGCAGGTAAAAATTATGACTGAAGGATCAGTCATTGCTAATTCATTCATTTCTGCTACATATCCCCAAAGTATCAAAATATATCTTTTTTATAATACACTGTAGTATATAACATCCCTTACATTCTCAAGAAGTCTGACATCATGTGATAAATGCTACCGGGAAAAAAAAAGGAATGGATCAATCAGCAACCCATAGCTGCTTATAATGTGTGCATTTTTAGCTCCTTATAGCAACAAGAAAGCCATAAAAATGACAGGTCCTATTTTATAGATGTTTATGTGTAGATGGTCCATCAAGACTGCTGTTCCCTCCCATCTAGAACAACAGGGCTTACATTTAGTGTAACGTACAGTTTACTGTTTTTAGTATTCATACAAATACCATGCATCATCAACAGCAGGAACTTCTTTATATCTGTAATGGCTTTATAAAGTGTATTTTTTATATATCGTATATTTGAGTATATATATTTATATATTTTAATATATATTTATATGTACACCTGAGTTAAACAGTTTTACAAATTTTGTTCTATTTCTTCCTGAGACAGAACCATTTACAGTGTCTGAGATGGAATTTAGCCATGTCAGCTTATTTCTGATTCCTGTAAGATTTGTTTCTTAATGGTTAAATAAATAATCATCTAATCTGTCTGAGCCATTATTTAAACACCACTTCACTGTAAATAGTTGTTTTGTTCTCTTTTCTTTAATGCTATGTATTAGTTTGATGGATGAGGAACTGGGGGGCCAAGGGAAATATTAGGGAATGGAATTTTTTGTGTCGATCCCAACCAAGCTGCACTGCTTCAGTACTACACAACCTCACCAAGTTGACGAGTCTTGAAAACCAGCAAGCAGAGGATAAGTTGTTTTGTTTGTTTGACCTTGTTTGAATGACCTTCATGAAAAATAGAGGATAAAAGCAATGGAAATCAATCAGCTGTTAAAATCCAGAGAGAACAGTGCTGAGCAGGCAAGTCTGCTTCAGGAGAACTCAGAAAACCACCAACTCAATCTACAGCAAAAAATATGGCTTCTTGGTTGGGAAGATAGTTTTTCTGCCATCTTTCTCGCATTTTAAAACCCAGGCCATGCATTCAACTGAGCAGCTTTTTTTGGACCAGATGTCTCCCTGTTCGATGAATGATCTGGTCAGTAGAACCTTCTTAATTGGACTGGTGAATATGTTCTTACTATACACACACTAGGGACAAACAAGAGGCAAACTGACTAAAGAGGTCTACAGTTCAATATATATATAACAAAAAAAAAAAAGTTAAACTATAGCAGCATCTACTTCCCTTAACTGTCTCTTATCTTCTGAAGATGTACCTGAGCAGGTCCCAAGGGCTTAAATCGATGGAGTTGGCTTCCTCAGTTTTCCTGACAGCTGATTATTTTTGCACCATCATTGCAACAGCTGATACTTTCAAAACCAGCAGGTTGCATTTAAAAAGCAGATGGATATTTTATACCTCCAGTTCGCCTTCAGTGCAGTGCAACTCACCGTGTTTTTTTTCCAAACTGGAAATGATCGCAGATCAGGGACCAGGGAAGGGAGGATCTGAGAGGATATCAAAGTTCCATGATTTGGCAGCAAAGAGCAACAGAAAGTTTGAAAAACAGCAGATAATAATGACCACGAAACATCAGTTGCACAATTGCCATCTCTCAGAGGAACCTTGATGTGGAAACCTGCTTATAGAGCACTTTGAAATCATCCAATGGTAGCACTAGTGTAAGAGGTTGGATAGCTGAGTCACTGGAAATCCAAGCTACTCATTTGCTTGATCCTGATAGCAATCCCGTGACTGGGGGGTTCTCAGAAGACTTCTTGCCTTAGCAGGAAGACAGGAAGGAAGCAGTGTGTGGGTCCTACTGTCCTCCCTCACTGCTCTGAAGCAGTGTGTGGGTCCTACTGTCCTCCCTCACTGCTCTGGTTCCTCACTCCCTGCTAGAATAAGGCAAGGGGCTCGTGGACAGCTTCCATGGTGCTTGGTGCTTCTGCTGCAGTTACCCTGTGCCCCTGAGGGCTAAGTCAGAACACCTGGGGGGATGAAACCCAGAGGGAGCACTGTGGGCCTCATAGGAAAGGCCTGCAGGCACCTGGAACCTGGCTGATGCCTGCAGACTCAAATGGTCTCATTCTGTACACGGACTTCAGGCTCAGTGTAGCCTGCAGCAAATGGAAATCAGAAACAGGCTCAAATTAGTTTCCCTGTGGCTCTTCCAACCCTTGTGCTGTCATTTCTCCTGTATAACAAACACTGGTGCATATTTACTGCTGTTCCTGTGCCAGTTCATGCATGTTACTCCTTCAAAGGCAGCATTGCTCTCTCTGGGAAAGCACAACAGGATGTGTGAAGAAGGCCTGGTACAAAGGGTGGCCCGAAGGAATTAAGCAACTAAAAGATATTTTGTGAGACCTTGTGCTGAAGGGTAATCAAGGTCCAGCATCTGTACACAGGCAGGCAGACAAATGAGGCCTCCTTTGGCATTCACCAGTGTAACCCTTGGCAGCTGTTAAACAGAGCTGGCCAACATGCTTTGTGAATGCATTAATAAAACATGCCCTGGTATTGCTAGGAACTATGTCAGCAAGTTATTCTTCTTTAAATGCCACAATAACGTTCATGTGTGAGGAACACAACACAAAGCAGAGGTTTCACCCCGATTTCAGAGTTTATCCTTGCTTTGACTTCCCTGATAAAAGGGGACAGACAACAGGCATGAATAGCGCCTAGTATGTCCAAGTGCTTTGGACACGAGTGCAGTTGCTTTCTTTGACAGGGGAGGAATGTGATTTATGTAAGAACAAGAAGACAACATATACCCTCTCGCAGACTAAAAAGGACATCGTGTGCTGAGACAAAGGCTTCAGGAGGCAGTGGGCATAGCTGGAATCTTCAGACAGTGTCCTTGGCCGTGCTCCTGACATGTCCTTGACTATGCCTTTGCATGCCTCTCCAGGCTGAGCACAGCTGAAGAAATCTGCAGCTGCAAGGATGAGAACAGCCATGTCAGAGGAGCAGAGCACAGCCCCCGAGGGCCCACAGATAGGCAAGGCAGAAGAGCCTGCATGCTGGGTCACTTCATGGCCCACCTGGCTCTGTGACTACTCTTCAGTTTCAGCTCACCTTCAGTAGCATTTAGGGTCTGCTCACAGACAAACTCTATTCCTATTTCCATACGCAGAAGGAGGCTGAAATGAAACATTTCCTGCAGAACTGGGGGAAGAAGGGAGGACAGCACAGTCCTATGGGTGCAAACTGGCTTTTCTGTAGGATTCTCATATCTTGTTGTAGGTTCCCAAAAGTGACCATCATCTGCATTTTTTTCGCATGATGGCATTAATTCCAACAACTGAATAAGCAGGGAACATCTTACTTAGCATTTTTCAAAGTCAGAGTGTCATGCCAAGAATATGTGCATGAATAATTATTTAAGAAAAAACACAGGAAGCTGTGCCAAATTCTGCACATCAGGAAGCACTTTAATCCACGTGATCACAAAGTATTGCATGCAGCAATGCTTTCATGATAACAGGCTTTCCTGTGCTTGAACAGCTAAAATACTTTGTTCCATCTACAAAGGAACTGGTGACAGTTGTTCTGTACCATATTTCCTACACTTTGTCTGACAGAGCATTCTTTCAAAGGTGCTTGAGTTGCTGATCCAGACATTTGTAGATATATACAAGATGATAGTAATTCAATACCGCAGGCTGAGTTGTGCCTCCTGCAATTACCAACATCATTTGAAATGGAGCGGATTTGAGAACAGGGATGGTAACTCACACTACATTATGGTCTTTCAGATATAAAGCTGATGTAAACCCCCAGGTTTCCTTTAAAAAACAGACAACCATAACCGCCACCCAGTAGCATTGCCTGCCTTTTGACCCATGAACTATTGAAAGAAAATAAAATTCCCCAGAAATTAAAATAGCAAAGCTAAAAAAAAACAACAGGAAAGGTGAGAAAGAGATGAAAAAACTGTATTTTCAAACAGCTCCCAAAAATAAATGCCTTACCCACGTCTAGAATCTTGTGTGGGGTAAGTTGTTTTGTGCAAAGTTTGCAGTGTAGCTTATTTGTATCTCAGATCTGTATCAACCAGAATGGATAACCAAAAGTCCTTCTGATCTAAAAAGCAGTTTGGGACTCCAACACATTCATGAAGAAGGCTGTTCCCAGAGCAGTTTGCCCTGAGGAAGAACTCTCATAAAGGACTGCTCAGCAGAATACCCTCTACAGGTTTTTCACCCTCAGGTTTCTCAAGCAGAGAAGTTGAGAAAAATGCAGAAGCCATGAAAGCACCCCTGTTTCTACCACACCAAGGAACAGCCTCAGCAGGGTGGATTCACACACATGGAGGACATATGGAGGGTCCATACATCACTACTGGAAATCCAGTGACTTTGAAGTGTGTTTCTGGCAAATGCAGTCACAGTTATTTCCACCACGATGACACCTGAGGAGGAGTTCTGGGAGGCCTTCCTTGGAGGAGACTTGGGACAGCCTCTGGTGTGTTCGATGAGACATGAGAGAAGAACCTGCAGCTGCCCTTTTGTCACTCTTCTGCAACTTCCTGGGGAAATGAAGGGAAAACAGCTCTAAGAGTTTCCTTGCAGACTTTCTGATGTCACTGGTATGGGAAGGGTAACTGCGTGCAAGAGTGCTATTCTTACTCTTTCAGCCTTTGCAGTCATAATGAAACCACAAAAAATATCCCTCTTACATGAGGTGATTTAGTGTTATTGCATAAGGCACCTGGAAATAGCAATTAGAACCCAAATGCTGCTACACAACTTACACGCATTCTTCAAGGCCATGAACTAATTAACCAAATTACCCAAATGCTGCTACACAACTTACACGCACTCTTCCAAGGCCATGAACTAATTAACCAAATTACCCAATCCTGATTTGAGGAGGAGAATAGAGAGGAGGTTTTCCACATTTCTGCAGTGAGCCTGGTGGTCCCCAGCACCATCCCCAGCTGCATTTTGTTGGCTTCCCAGTCGGACACAGCAGGGGGATTAGGAAGGACCACCAGCAGTGAGTAGCAGGAAGTCCAATCACTTGCCAAATTTCCCAAGTTCAAAACCAGGCCTGCATGTGTGGGGGCATAGGGCTGGTGCTGGAAAGACATGCAGAAGGAGAAAGGAGTCATCAGGAATTAGGGAAAAGGTACCCATCCTCATGGGGTGTTGGCAGCAGAAGCAGCCCCTACACCCTCCCTGCACCCAGGAGGCTTCGATGAAGCCCATCAACACCACTTCTCTGCAGGACCAGCCTGTGTGTGGTCTTCTGTCTGCTGAGGCACTCAGCATTTTATTGCTCCTTCGCCTTAGCACAACTGAATCACTGCAGCTTTTCTGGCATCCTGGCCAAGCATGCCTCAACTTGCATAAAAGGAAATTAACACTAAGGGTTTCAAGCTGAGGCCATTTCTGTAGTAGGGGAAGCTTCAGCATTACATGCTTACATGCAGTTTCAGTGAGAAAATCCCTCACATTTATCCATGGTCAGCAAATACTTATTACTGCTATGATTTCTTCCTTCATGGGAAGGTTGAAACCTCCCTCATCAAAACTTTGCCACTGGCAGTGAGGGATTGTGACTCCCTGAGGACTTCAGCATGTGTTCACTCACTCTTGTGAAGTATTATCTTTTCCTAGTAGGGACCAGCCTCAGGTAGTCCAAAGCATTCGTGAACACTAATAATCATGGTAGGGCTTGGGTTGGAAGGGACCTCAGTGTCCACTCAGCTCCAACCCCTGCCATGGGCAGGGCTGCCCCCCACCAGGCTAGTGCCTCACTACCCTCTCCATGAAAAATTTCCTCCAAAAGACATCTAATATGAATTTCCCCTATTCTAGTTTAAAACCACTCTCCCTTGTCCTGTCGCTATCTACTGATGTAAAAAATTGATTTCCCTCCTGCTAATTCCAGAAGAAACACTGAGCTTTGATAGCCATGGCAAGCAGGCAGCTTGTGTTATGCTGAGTATTAATTGGGTTTATTTATTGTATTTCTTTATTTTAGGAAGGGCTGATGTGGTTCACCTATTAAAAAAAAAAAAAAAAACAAAGTTAAAAAAAAAACAAAGCAGTGAGATGACTTCACTAAGTAAATACATTAAGCATTCAGATGGGTTTAAGTGTATCAAACTCTTACACTGCTAACAGAATATAACAAAGGGAGGGATGTAACTTAACACATTGATCGTGGTTGTTTCTGTTCTTAAAGAAACCGTTCGATACCAATAAAAGCCACACCACATTATGGGTTCACAGCTAAGTTATCGGAATAACTGACAGAATAACAGAGTAACCCAAAAATAATCTTACTATTCACCAATAAAACACCAACAGTTGAAAGTAATAATAAGCTAACTAGTTTGTCACAATGCCACAGGCAAATCTAAATGCACCCACTTCAGGAACACGTATTTGAACTGCAAGGCAAAACTCACATGATAATACACAAAATGTTTGTTCAGAAATCTGTTCAGAAATTTGGCTGGAAAAGAAATTACAATCATATCTCACTATGTAGAATGGGGCACTACTCCAGCTGCACCACAAAGGGTAAGTAAACCTGTGCTTTCTGTAAAATTTTATGGTTTATCTGAAGTACAATAGTAGCATGAGCAGGGCAGTTAAGCTGGGCTCTAGACTGTGCAGACCAACAGATTGCTCTGAGGCTATTTCCGTGTCCTTTATTTCCCCTAATACAGACCTTGGCCAGTAAATGTACAGCATCAGCTACTCCAGAAGCACCCCAAGAGCTGAAAGCCAGTCTCTCCTACCTTTGTTACTAGAGCTCTTTCAGTTGTCCTTCATCAGTGTAAATGAGGTATTCAGGATTGACCTGGAAAATGTTGCTTTTAATTCCTAAGATTATTTTTCAAGGTTATTGATCTTCCCTGAGCTACCGACTCCATCTACCTCTTCCCTAATTCCAGTGGGAAATTCCTCATAAGCACTGTGGTCAGGTCCTGCAGACCTGTCCAAATACATGTGAGGTATTCATGGCTAACTGTGGTTTGAAGAGTTAGCTCAACAATTCAATGAACTTCCTTGCCATTACAATATTTATAAGTCTGATCCTATATGCTACTGATTACGTATTAGTTGCAAATTCTTTTCCTTATGTGCCAATAGTCAATCTCTACCATTTCTTTATTTTTTCATAAAGATCATACATGACTCATAGATGTTATAGGCAGGTTCTGTGGAAGGGCTTTTAGACCAAGCAGCTTCCACTTCACCCCACTCAGGCACAGAACACCAGTGTGCCACACTGATAATGAGACGATACCCATGAGAGCCATAAGTTTGACATCTGCACATGCTGAAGTGCTGCTTTAATAACTGCTCTACTGTTATGGAAAGTAGGGTGGCCTGGATGAGCTGAAGACAGAAAGAAATTCCTTCTCCTTTGTATAAAAGTTACAAGAGAACTCTGACTGATTTTCATCAAAATAAAATGCTAATCATAAATACAGGCCTGGATGTGCAGACCTAATTACTGTACAAGGCTGCTTCTCTAAGATTATAAAGTGCAAAAATCAGCCGTGCTTCTTGGCTCCAGTGCTAAACTGAACTACTCCAGCAAATACTGTTTAATTATCCTGAATCTGCTGACATATTTATATTGTTTACAGTGTGATTTTCCATGTCCTTTTTAAGCAAGTTGAGAAAACTAACACACAGCTGGAACTGAAAATAGTTTTATACTTTATATTCAGAATATGAGGATACTGAGATGATTGAAAAGACTTTAGGTTCAAGGGACATTTTGTTTGCAGATTGCTTTCATAAGTTTATCTGCAAAACTTATGCTTTTTGAAATGAAACTGCTGAGAATTGCTGGGAAAGTACGTGGGATGGCAGGGGGTCTTGGAGCACCCAGAAGGCTTTGATCCCAAGAGGCATGAGAGCTCTACCCCATATTTACTCAAAAGTGAGCATTGGGCCCTTCTAGTCACTCTTGATCAGAAGGGGTAGTTCATGTCAAGTCACTTCCTTTGGCTTTTCTAGCCATCTTCATTATGGTCAGAGGCCAAACCCAGCTTAAGGGCAGGTGAAGCCAGCAGGCACATGCCAGGACACCAAATCCACCAACATCCCACTGCCACCCCACTCCAGGCTCTGCCCCTCCACAGGCTGTGGTACAGCTTACTGAGATTTGTACCTGCTATGCTGTGGATGCCAACAGTGATTGCAATTTTCTGAGACAGAAGAGGAGAAGTGAGTATTGATGTGGGTGGAAATCAGCTCACAGGCACTCAATTTTATGGTTGCCACATCTTCACTGACCCTCTAATTAATGCCTCCATTAATATGAACTTTAACATCTGCAGTGATGTACAAATGTTCATAATTCTATCATTCTCATTTCCTTTTCTTCATGCAAGTATGTTCAGTAAGGTTCAACAAGAGCAAGTACAGGATCTTGCATGTGGGGAGGAATAGCCATATGCACCAGTACAGTTAGGGGATGACTCACTAGAGAGGAGCTCTGCAGAGAAACACATGGGTATCCTGGTGGACAACAGGGTAACCATGAACTAGCAGTGTGCCCTTGTGGCCCAGAAGGCCAATAGTATCCTGAAATGCATTAAGAAGAATGTGGCTAGCAGGTTAAGGGAGACGATCCTCCCCCTCTGCTCTGCCCTGGTGAGGTCACATCTGGAGTGCTGTGTTCAGTTCTGGGCTTCTCAGTTCAAGACAGACAGGGAATCTCTGGAGAGAGCCCAGCAGAGGGCCACAGAAACACCAGGGGGCCTGAAGCATGTCCTATGTAAGGAAAGGCTGAGACACCTAGGAGTGTTCAGTCTGGACAAGAGAAGGCTGGGAAGGGATCTCATAACTGTTTATAAATATCTGAAGCGTGGAAGTCATGTCAATGGAGGCAGACTCTTATTGGCAGCAAGCAGCAATAAAAAAAGGGGCAACAGGCAGAAACCGGAATACAGGAAGTTCTGCAATAACACAAGGAAGATCTTCTTTATAGTGAGAGAGCCCTTGAACAAGCTGTCCAGAGAGGCTGTGGAATCTCTTTCTCTGGAAATATTCAAGAGCCACTTGGATGCCTAGCTGTGTTGATATGCTGCAGGGAACCTGCTTTGGCAGGGGATTGGACTCCTTGATCTCCAGAGCACCCTTCCAGCCCTACAATTCTGTGATTCTGTGTGATGCTATCACATCCCAAGGGTTCAGATTTTCAGCAAGTTGTGTTATTTATCCTCAGAGCTCCAATAAAGGGACTACCATGACTTGGCATGTATATTTAGGAGGGAAACAAGTAGCAGGAAAAGTTCATCCCCTGAACATCCCCCCAGTTCTTCAGGTACTACAGCAAGTGATTTTCCAGCCGTCAGACCCAGCTGAGGCAGTGCAGCCTGGGCACTTGCATGACAACCGTGAGGCAGAGCTGCTACCGGAACTGTGACATTTTCAACAGCGTAGCCACAACAAAAGATAACTACTCCCCCCCGCTCCAAAAAAGGAACAAATATCTTATTTGTCTACAGCTTCATCTACTAATAACTACACAGTTCTATCACGTAAAACTCTTTAGTTTTGAAATCTACTGAATAACTTCCACAGTTTGGTAAAATGTTAAGCTCTTCAGAAAGACTTGGGGTTGTGCCATCTATGTTATAATCATCTCACAGGAGCTAGCTGAGTCACTGAGATAACAATCTGAAGGGAAACTGCCACTTCTTTGAGCCATTGCATCCACTTTGAATGTGTAAATGTGCCATTTTCAGAGCTCTCAGGTTGGAAAATGAGTAGGATAGTGGTCCAGATAATAATCTGGAGCCTCTCTCAAATATTTCAAGCACAAGCAGAGAAATAAAGGACCATTAGAACCTAGATCAAGAAAATGCTGGGGTTATGAAGAAAAAGAAAAATAAACGTAGTTTAAATCCAAAACAAAACAAATTCAAAATTGAAAAAAAAAATCCAAAGCCAAAACAAAACAGAGAAAAAAACTACTTGCAAGCATTGGGAAAAAAAAACAAAGTAGTCACTGGAGATCAACACTGTAATCAACACTACTTGAAGACTGTGTGATTTTTCTGCCTACACAGGCCTTCTTATGCATCATTCTTTGCAAAAGTAGAAAATGATTTTAATAATAATTACAAACCTATTTGAATTCTCTACTTTCCTGTTAGGACACTTGCTTGTTTTTGAACAACATAGTGCAAGAGGCAAGCTGAAACATCTCCTTCCTACAGAGAAGGGTTTTGATATGTATTACCTATCACAAAGCTATTCTGTCAGCTCAAATACCGTGGGAGCAGGCTACAAA